CAGCCATCAATGCTGTATATTTCTCACCAGTTTAAGCTGTTGGGGCACAATCTTTACTTCCCAAGACTCCAGCAGTAGCAGCAGCTGATCCTCTGTTAACTCTGGATCATTGAAAGAGATTTGTGCCACGAAGGCAGCGAATCACCCCGGGGTGTTTGCAGAGGTGAGAAGGCTGACCTGGGTCCTGCATTGGGTGCCTGCATTCTCAGCAGTTCTCTGGGCACTTCAAACTGCATGAATTGCACGGCCTCCCTATGGGACGAATGCAGGCATCGCTCTGTGCCTGCAGCCCTTACCAGTGAAGGCATCCAGAGTGTAGGAGATGGCTTCTGTCAGGCTGAGGAGATCACAGCGGGCAGAAATCCGAAGTGTGCTGAGCAGAACGTCCAAGTCTGGGCTCTGTGTTGTCAGCTCACAGTTATCAGGGTCATCGAGGACTGCTTCCATCTGTGAGAAAAAGGGGAGGAACTCGCAGGGTTTACTGAAGTTCCTGCAAGGGCTTCTTTGCAATACAACCACAGAGCCAAGAATCCCAGCATCTCTGTCATTCTGGGTGGGGATGAGGGCCAGGTGAACGTGGGGAGCTGTGCCCCAGCTGTGTGCACAAAGCCTTATGGAGATGTGATCACAGGTAAAGTCTTTGGACTCACAAACTCTGCTTACCTTCTCGGTCAGCTCCTCAAGGAGGTTCCTGTCTCTCATCACAGCTTTGATGGACTTCACAACGATGGCATTCAGCTCATCAGCCAGCTGGGACAGAACGTGACACTTCCCCTTAACTTCTTTCTCCAGTGCATCTACTTCTCTGTGTGCAAAACCTGCAAGCCAGAAAGTGACCAAATATTCCACTTTTAAATGAGGCAATTCTGCAGTGATTGCCAGCCCTGTACAGAGAATCTGAAACGCTTCTGTGAATATTGTCAAAGTAAATGATGCTCAGATTTGCGTTGGACGGTTGTGGCTCAGGTTGTAGGCAGTAAGCAGCAGCAGCTCTGGGGGTTTGTGAGTGTCCCAGGGGACCCCATCCTTCCCAGATGGGATAACAGCAGTGCAAAGAGGGATTAAAACACAGTGCTTACCGTCAGACGCAAACGTTGGTTGATTATTCTCTGGAAAGTGGTTGATACCTGTAACAGTACGAAGATGGAATTGCTGGGTTAGAAAACACCTGGAGCTGGATGGGTGGTGCTGGTTGTTTTGTTTTGGACCGAAGGCTGTGCTGAGCATTGGCTCGGCTCTGGCTTGCCCAAAGCCTGTGTTGCAGCACATGCAAGTTAAAACTGCTTCTGTCACAGAGCTGTGCTTGCAGACAGGCTCAGGGTAGAGCACATCGCAGAGCACTTCTGCTGTGCTGCGGAGTTTGCTGGGTGGAGGATCTGGGAGTTTCTGTGCCTCTTACCCCACGCTGCGTCCCCGATGGTCAGCTGCATCGCCCTGAAGGCCAGCGTGCAGCCCCTGGGGATGGTTATGCTCTGTTTGCTCCCGGTGGTGCCCTGGGCAGTGAAAAATCCCTTACTGGGCTGCGTGATGTACGGGGATGGGGAGGATGGGATCCCGAGCTGAGGAGAAGGCAAACCTTAGCAGAGAACTTGGCGTAAAGCTGAGCCATGAGCTTCGCCTCCGCCTCCGTGGATTCCTCGTATCGGGCCTCCTCTGAGGTCTCTATCGTTTCGTGGATCACGTATAAGTTCTGCCTGGCCTTCCTCAGCTGCTCGATGAAGGTGTGCTTCATGTTGATTTTCCTAAAGGAGAGAAAGGATACGGCGTCTGCTAAACGTGTCGCAGTTTTGTTGCAGCAATGTAAGCTGCTCAGAGCCTGCAGCACCATGCTCGTGTTCCTCGTGTTGTGCAGTGTGTCCGTGTTGCAGTGGAAGGCTCTGGGAGGGGAAAAAAGGGTTCAGCAACAGGCTGCAATTCCTGCTGTCCTCGGTGCGTCCCCCTTTGCCTGAGGAGTCTGATCTGATGGAGGCGAATGCAAACCTGCCAGCGCTGCAGGGCCGTGCAGGGGAGCTGAGACTGGAATGGGAAGAGATCAAGTGTTTGTAATTACAGCAGTGCACGGCCTTGGCTTTGGCTGTTGGAAAACCACTGTGTGTGTCATGGAGGGGCGTAAAGCAGGGGGTGCAGTCTGCCTTGATGTCTTCCTTACCTTTCCTCTCTCAGTGCCTCAAGTTTGGGTACCAGGATGTGCTTCTTTTCCAGCTTGACGTGCCACTGCTTGGACACCGAGGCACCTCCTCCCAGTTCTACTTCTGCAGGCTCACTGGGGATGCTGAGGCTCCCATCCACGCTGTCTCTGATGCTTCCCATGGTTGTGAACTCCCCTGGGCTGTGGCTCTCAGTGCTGGGAAGGAGGGACTCTGCAATGATGCGTTGTGTTACAGGCTGATGAGCTCCCGGTTGGGCACCGAGAGAAAGCAGGGAGGTGCAGGATGGTAAATGTGGGCTTTACCAACGCTGTCCTTCTGCTCCACAGGCAGCAGCACGTCGTGGAGCCGGAATTCTGTCCTTCTGTAGGAGGGAAACGGGCGGAATCTGGCTTTCCTCTTCCTTCGAACCAGGCAAAGCAGCCTGAAGCGGTCTTGGTCTGAGATGCTGTGGACAGGAACCAGGTCTCCTTTGGGATCCATTTGCTTTGCTACTTTTTGGGCGACTTTTTTAAACATTCTGCAGCAGCTTTACGAATTCGCAACCCAAGGTGAGAAGTGCAGTTGTGCCTTAGGAAAGAAGACAAGCAAAATGAGTTGGGATACAAGTAGAAGGTCACAATAAAGTATCTTGCTTCTAATTTTGAGGATAATAACCCCCCCAAAGAATACAAGAATACAACTTGCATGAGATTACTTTCAAAAGGCACCCAGACAGGTCCTGATAGAGCTGTGCCTTCCTGATCAGCCTTATTCAGGCTCATCCCTGTTTGCTGTGCAGCTTGCAGGACTGGGTAAGGCTGAGAGCACGGCTGGCTGTTTGGGGATGGAGCTTTGCTGTTGGAGCCCATGGCTGCTCCTCCAGCAGATGTTTTGTTTGCTCCATGTACCATCATACGGCACAGCAGCCTGGGCTGGGCATGGCTATTTAACCTCTGTACCACCTGCTGGGGTCCCCAGTGCTTTAATGAACGCATTGCTCTTACAGAGGCCTAAAGAAAGCAAATCTTGAGCAATTCCTTGCTGTTCTGTAGCTGTTGCTTTGCGTGCTCTGCGTTTCCCCCCATGTTGGTGCCCGGCAGAGCTCTGTTGTTTCGAAACAGAATGTTGGGAAAACAATTTGGTCAAAGTCTTAAAGGAACTGAAAGTGTTGAAGGTGATGGGATGAGGAAGGAGAAGCCTCGTTGTTTGCCAGAATGTTCCTCAGCATTTTGGTGTTTCTCATGGGTCGGCACTGACGCCTCCCCAGACCCCAACATCCCCACTGCTCTCCCTGCATCCCTGTTGGGAGAGCTGGAAATGGAAGCTGCTGGCAGGTTCTTAGTTCTGTAAGCAGAACTTTGGTCCGGTTTGATTTACGAGCTTTGATTTATGAGCAAAGCAGCTTCCTGTAGTTCAGGAGAAAAACAGGCTGTGTTATCACCTCTGTGTGCTGCTTTATTGTGTCGTGTTCAGGGGGAGTGGATCCCATCCAACAGCTGCTTTCCCCCCTCCCAGAAGGAGCACAGTCACATCCTGCCCAGGGAGGGTGCCCAGATTCACACATCCTCTCCGTTCCACTCAGACCCAGACGCAGCCATAAGCAAAGCACAGCGGTTCTCATTACAGCTGACTTTAAAAGTAGGGGCACCCTTAAAGTTGTACCTGTCAGGGCTGTGAGGAGAAACCCTGTGACTTTGTAGGGAGTTGGAATAAGCCTCGGTTGCTGAACTGTGTGAGGAGAAAGAAGGACAAAGGGGGGAGGAGGGAGAGAGGAGAGAGGAACGGGTGGAGAGAGGGACTGTGGCTCTGCGTTCCAGCTCTGATCCAGCTGATGGGGGCCTTTGGGCTGTGGAAGCTCATCCTTAAGTTTCAAAGTTCTGAAGTCCCGAGAGGAGCTGGGGACGGACTTTGAACCATGGGAGAGAAATGTGGGGTGGCAGAACGGGGCAGCCCTCCCCCATCTGTGGGGCAGCTCTTACCTGGAGCCCTGGGGGGCTGTGGGGTCCGTGATGCTGGAGGGGGGCCGGCTGGTTGCGGTGCCTGCAGTGCTTGCAGTGCTTGCTGTGCTTGCAGTGCCTCCTGTGCTTGCAGTGCTTGCTATGTGTGCCTCCTGCCAGCCCGGAACTGACTGCCCTATAAGGAAAGAAGCACTGATGTAACCCCAACCCAGCAGCTTTTTTGCCCTCCCCTCTGCTGTCCTGCTGTTCCAGCAGCTGTGGGCACCTTTCATTTGGTCCCTATGCACACTGTTCCTGGGCTGGAGGACTTTGCTGCTGTTGTGGCTCTGTTTTGCTCCCTGCCTGGCAGGATGAGGAGCAGTGCGTTCTGGTTAAGGCAGCACGGCTGGGTTGTGGTTGGATTTGATGAGCTTGGAGGCGTTTTCCAACCTGTGCAACGCTATGGTTGTAAAGCTGCAGAAGTGCAGTGCGTGGTGTGGGTGGGGGGCAGCAGTGCTGCACTTCTGGTAACCTGCATTCAATGCTGCTTTGCTGGTGCTGCGCTGGATGCACGGGGTTGGTGGGGAGCCTGGAAGGGGCTGGGGGGGGGGTCTGAGCAGTGCTGATTGATATCTGAAGGATGGGGGATGGGGCCGGGCTGTGCTCAGCAGTGCCCAGCAATGGGATGAGGGCAGCGGGCACAGCTTGCAGCTCAGGGCCCCCCCGTCCACACATAAAGGGACAGAGCCTGGAGCAGCTGCCAGACAGGCGAGGAGGGGGAACAGGAGCTGCTGGGGGGGGGTTTGGACCCTTCTGACCCCTGCAGTTCTGTGGTCTGTAAGGTTCCAGCTCAGCTCTGCCCGGTGAGCCTGGGGTCACAGGGGGCATCAATGAGCAGAACGGCCCAGTGGGAACCCAAGGAGCCGAGCAGGAGTTTTTACATGAATACTCACTTTATTAGTTTCTCTTAGAACGCTGTACAAAGGAGTAATAAAAATATTCACACTTTGTTTTAGAAAGTTCTCTACACGAGACTTCGGTATCCACAGCATAAAGAAGGGCTGCTGGCAAAAACCAAACCAAAACCAAACCCTAAAACTATGTACAGTGTCAGCATGTTCTCTTAAAAAACCAAAACGAAACGAATTTAGGCTTCAATTGATCCGAGGACACATCAATGCAAAGACCTGCATGCTTAAAAACATCTGATACGCGGTGATGGAGCCATGGAAGCCCCAGTAAGAAATATCAACGCCTTAATAACGGTAACCCAACCGCTGCCCCCTTCTCGAGGGCCAGTACCAACTTTCTATTAAAAAAAGCAAACCAAAAATACGATTAAAAAAAGACCTCGGGATGGAGTAGCCCTAAATCTCAGGGTTTTCTTTGTTTCTTTTAAAGGCTTTTATTTTTTGTTTGTTTGTTTTCCTGCAATGGTTTGGACTGTGAGAAATCCCACCGGGAACTGCAGGGCAGGAGCCCTGGCTGATGGAGCAGTGCTGCCTGATGCTGCCTGCTGTCCCCATTGTGCACGATGGCCTCGCCGACCTCAGGCCGTGCTCATCTGAAGCTGTTCTGCACTTATTGCAGGACAAAAGAAAAACCCCAAAGGATTTCAGTGCCTGCAGTCCCACCTCCTGCGTTCCCCAGCTCATGGCTGTGCACAGAAGCAGCGCAGGCTGGAGAGGAGGATCGAAATCCCGTTTAAAATCGCTGCCCGTCGATGATCTCCTGCACATCCCTGCGGGGGAGAGCAGCCTTGGTGCACCCAGCTCACTGCTGTAAGAACTTAACAAGCAGAAATAGGGCAGAAGTGGCTTTGGTGCAGCTCAAGCTGGGGTGGTGCTGTGCTTTCCCAGCTCTGCAGCGCAGACCCTTCAGCAGAGGCTCCCTGGGACAGCAGTGCTGGCAGGGAGGATCCAGGCACAGAGCAGTGAGCGTCGTTTGCCCAGCAGGACCCAGTGCTGTTCTGGAAGGTTCCTTTCCTGATCCTAATTCTGGTAGCTCCCCTTAGGATGGCATCTGAAGGAAGATCTGAGATCAGTCATTGTCCCAGTAGCCATTAATCCGATGAAACCACCTCACACACTGCTTTATCAACACAAAGCCCTTCGACTCTGCGTTTCTCCAGTTTTAATTAATATTCCTTTTGATTGGATTGACTGCATGAGTCCAAGTGAACTTAAGATACTGCATAGCAGAAATGCTTTATGTGCCTTGGAAAGAATGTCATCTGCCACGTAACCCCAAATGAGGACACCTGTAATGGCTATTTGAATCATTCCAGTTAAATAAAATGGGAGAAGTTTGCTATTGTAATTAAGGCTTTGCCCCACAAGGAGCTCTGGACCCTGGGCTTGAAAACCTGCCTTTTCCAGAAGTCTGTAATTCCATTCTGTATTGTTTTATTGAATGTCTTCCATTGAACAGGACAGAACCAGGTGCCCATCTGTCAGCTATCAGCACAGACATCAGATGCTCCAACCCCAGCAGTAACACTGCAATGGAGCCGAGCCCCAAAACACAACTGCTCTGACCTGGAATAGCTCACATATGCCTACAGACAACCAGCAGATGCCCTATGGATGGGAGTCATGTTTTTAAGCCAAAGCACCCTTGGTAAAACAACGACTTCTGTTGCATAAAAGCTTGTATTTTCCCCCTTTATATTATGCCTAAACGAGCAGCATTTGTTTCTCCTGGAGGTTCCCCACTGGATGTGGGTTCGTGTGCTCCTGTTAGGAGCAGCTGCTGCAGCACTGCAGTGTCCACAGGCATCCCAGGCACTGGTGCTGTTCATTCCTCCCTAACTTCCAAAGGACTGATTGACAAAATAGTTCTAGTGTGACAAAAACAAGTATTTCTTTCCCCAAAGTCATTGTCTGGTAGCTTACAGAGCACATCAGCTTTAGGGTCTGCAGTACCTTAACTAAAGCAGCAGTCCTCATTCAGGGCGGTTTAACCCCCACCCAGTCAGGTAACCACGATCTGCCAAGCTCCCACTGGAGATCAGCACTCAAACACCAACCCTCCTTCTACCTTCCTTTCCACTTCCAGCATTTCCATTGTTCAAACCTATTGGGTGATGACCCTGTGCATCCCAGCAAGGCTCTGAGCAATGTTAACTGTTTTCTCCCTTTGCTGCAGCAGCCTGGTGAGCTTGGGACAGAAGTAAAGCCTGATATTATGCATGGAGCAGTGCTAGGTCTTATATAGCAGATCTTGGAGCTCCTCTGTGCCCTGTGCTCAGACCCTCCAACAGAACTCAGCATCCACTCTGACTTCTCAAGCTAGACTCGGCTAATTAAGAACAAACCCAGCATGTTTAAAACACCTTCATTGGCCGTGTGAGACAACGTAAGCACAACAAAAAATGCAGGTTGCTGTCAGGGAAAGCATGAGCAAAACCACGTTTCACCCAGCACACAGCTTGCAAGAAAAACCAATTGCTTTGAACAGCAGAAAGGCATCTTGGCCACGAAAGCTAAACCTGCAGCCCTCCTGTGTTCCAGCGGTGGTTGGAGGGGGATGAAGGCTGGATTTTATTCCTATACAAAACCATCTGCTGTCTTTGGTGACACAAAGACCCTTCCCTTGGTCAGGTCAGTGTGCTGCTGGTGCTGCTCCTCAGCGCTGCTCTGCTCCCTCCCCACTGGCAGGGATCAGCCCTGGGGTCGCAGCGCTTCGTCGCCACGTGGAGGCTTTCATGCTGAGTTAATTGGAGAACGGGCAGATCTCATTAACGGCTGTGTGGGCTGAGGAGGCCGAGGGGATGGATGGAGGAGGAGAGCTCAAATCGCTGCCACCAGCCTCTGCAGCAGCACCCAGCCCTCGCACGTCTGCACCCATCGCTCTTTGGTTCCTCCCAGGCTCACGCAGCTCCGCGCAGCAGGGGAGCATCTGCAGTCCATCACTCCGACGAGCTGCACCTCAGCCCTTCGTCCAAACGCTTCGCTGCCTGAGTGCTTGAAAAGTTGAGAGGTTCGGGATGGGAAGCAAAGTCATCCAAGCTGGAAGCCACAGCTGGGAGTTGGGATCTTTTCCCTGGACCGGACGGCCGCTCCCCCAGGACGCACAGCGCTGCCCCAGCGTGCAGGTCGTCGCTTTTTGCCTGTGCTGCTTTCAGTTGAACTTCCTTTCCCAGCGGCGTGAAAGATTTCCAAAGAAAAAAATCTGTCATTCTGTTCCCCTCCCTTCTCTTCTTCTGCCCAAGAAGTGGAAACAAAACCTGAAACCATCCAATATTGGGAGAGTTCGGCTGCGTCCCTTTCGATTTCCTCGCGTATCGCTTTAAAGCACCAAAGCCTCGGAAAGGGAGATCATGTTAAAGTGCATTTACCACAGCAATAGTACCAGCACTAAAAGCTTTTCCCCTCACCCCTGTTCTCGTCGCACCTGGGATAGATGAAAGCCTTCCCACAATTCGGCCTCTTTGTACCTTGGAGTCTCGGTGTGTCTGCATCTATTTCTGACGCTGGAATAAAGGAAGTCCAGCATCCTGCTCCTCACTAAACTCTACTCTGGAGCTTCTTTAGATTTATTGGGCATGAGGATCCAGCATGCGGTGTATGTCTATTGGGTACTGCATTTAAACAGCTGCTGTGAAACTATCCCAGTGTGGGCAGGGGGGAATGGGAGCGGGGAGGAGGAACCTCCCCCAGCTCCGCTGCTCCTCCATCCGCACACTTCAGTACTTGTTGATCCCAAAGATCCGCACTCCGTGGAACTGAGGCAGTTTGGGGATCAGGACGCTCATCAGGGAGATGGTGTTGATGACGAAGTGTATCCGGTCGTACTTGGTGTAAAAGCTGGTTAGAAAATACCTGCGGGGAACAAAAAGAGACACCCGGATGATGCCACGCCGCGAGCTTCGCTTCCTGTGGGCTCCGCTCCCCCCCGGCACTCACAGCACGATGGGCATGATGGTCAGGAACTTGCGGGATGCCGTGAACTGCACGCCGTAATCCATCTGCTCCCAGTGCGTCAGCAGCCGCGCCTTGCCCTGGTCTGGCGTCTCGAAAGGGGTTCCTTTCACGGTGTGCAGGAAGATGTACATGCTCTGCAGCGGACACAAAGGCGGTGTGAGGCGTGCCTGGGGCTCCGCACCCGCCTGCAGCGGCTCAGCTTCAGCCAGAGGAGCGCAGCAGTGAGGGAGGGAGGCTTGCAACAGCGCTTTGCTCCGCTAGAGGGATGCGCCGCCATCGCTGCCGACCCAAAGCAGCCCCGGGGGGAAGGAAGGCTGCGAGTTGGACCGGCTCTGCTAAGAGCAACGCTTCTCCCTCTGCTCCCATGCGTAAGGAAAGGGAGCTGCGAGATTACAGCACTGGGATCTGTGGGATCAGGAGATCGGCACGGCCTGGCTGCAGTGTGCAACAGCGCTGCTAAAAGTGCTGCTGGAGCTGCAGGCAGAACGGAGCAGTTCCTGTCTGATACATCAGCAGCGTTTGGCTCAGCCGCGTCTTCTACACTCAGCCCTCACTGCCCTCAACTCCTCTCTGTTCCCAGGACCAAAGTTTGTGCTGGCAGAGGAAAGCAGGGCGAGGAGCTGGGCGAAATGCAGGCAGCTGTGCTGCACTCAGCCCCCAGCAGTTGGAGCTCTGGGTTTATTGGCGTGTTTATGTATTTTTGTATCACTAGAGATAACGCGAGCAGCCCCAAGGATTTGCTCACCGCTGGCACGCTCCCAGGCAGAGATGTTGACATAAAGGACACAAACTCGGTGGCTGTAGCTCCGAAATATTTTGCCTCTTTGACCCGGGGGCGGCTTACCATGTTGTGAATGATGTTGGTGAGAGTCCAAACCACGGGGACGCTGAAGAAGGGGATGCTGAGGAGCACGACGTGCAGCAGCCCGATGCCAAGGACGTAGGACAGCCAGATGCCCCGGCTGTTCATCACACGTGTGTTGGGGTTCACCTCGCTGTGCGCCGTTCCCACGTTCATGTTGGCTCTTGTCTTCACCCTCTGAAACAAAACCAGAGGCAGGTCAGTGCCCAGGTCACTGTTTCCATCCACGTTTCTCAGCTAAGCTTGCTGGAAAGCTGAGAGCTGTCTTACCAGTTATCAGGGATTACAGGAAAGAACGCAACTTAGAGCCACTGCAATGCAGAATATCTTTACACAGAGATCAGAGAAGGTCTTGCATAAAATACTCAGTCTGTTTCCCAAGGACATAACGCAGCCTGTCCCTTGCACAGCAGACCCCAAAGCGATGACTTTTCCCTGATGTTCAGCCTCGTGCTTTTACTGCTTTGGTTTCCACAGCTGAAAACCAACCCAAGCTGCTGTTCTGTCCAGCTCTCAGTCTCAGGAGGCGAGCCCACGCCAGATCTGACATTATGCTCTGAATGTTGCTGCCAGCTACTCCGAGTTCCCTTTCTGAGTGCTGGGCCTGGCTTCTTTCAGCAGCTGCCGTGCTCTGAGCCTGCCTGGTGCTCACTGACACAGCATGAGTGCAGCTCTGGGACGCTCGCTGCGAGCTGATGGATGCTGCCGTGCCCTCACTGCCACTCAGGGAGCTTTAGGTCTGGAAAAGGTTTTTGTTTAGCAGAAAAGAGCCTCTGGATCTGCAGGTTGCTGGGTGAGTGGCTGTCGGCTCTGGGGTGTTCTGGACAAAGCAGCCTGGTTTGGGGGCAGGACTGGAGCTGGAGGTCAGCGCTGGGACAGCAGCTCCATCCTCAATGTGGCACAGCCCCTATTGGCTCTCAGAAGGAAATCTGGGGGTCGTGCTGCAGTATAACATGAGTTGAAGATGTCACACTATGGGGGGAAAAGAGGGGGAAAAAAAAAGGGAAGGAAGAAAAGCAACTACCGCTGTGGAATGTGTAAACAGGAGCGCTGCTTGCCAGACAGGAGAAATAATCCTCCCAGATATTGGTGAGGCCTCAGCTGAGTGCTGTCCAGTTCTGGGAGGAGCTGGAGGGAGTCCAGGGCAGAACTGTGAGAATGAGCAGAGGTGGAGGAAAAACATGACCTGCAAGGCCGTGCTGGAGGAAATGGGTTTGTTTAGTCTAGAGGACATTCAAAAAAGAGGTGATGAACGGACCCCAAACGCTTACAGGGTCTCTGCAGAGAGAATGGGGACCAAAGCGTGCAATGGAGGTTCAGAGCAATGCAGTAACACAGAAAGCTGATGTGGGATAAAGTGCAATTTCTGTCTGGGATCAACCAGGGCTCTAAAAACTAATGAGCAACTGCTGTGTGCTGCTGTCTGCCAGGCAGGGCAGCGGGGTGGCAAAGGACAAAGCTCAGAAGCTGAATGTGAAGCAATTCCCCTCTGCCTCAGTTTCCTCACTTGCTGCAGTGATTGGGGTGCTGAAGCTCTCATTGATACAGCACAGGAAGTTAATTTGCTCTTGCAAAGAGAGCAGTGGGGAGGTCAGGCATTAGGCCACATGATAACGGAGCATGCTTTTCCAACCCTGCTTTCCCCACCTTAAAAACCTGCCCTCGGTGAATCTTTTCCAAATTCTGGACTGTTTTCACAGCCCTGGCCTGAGCTCTTTGCTCACTTCAGATTGCACACAGAGCTTTGCACGTTATTGCAAAAGCCTGGCTGGGAGCAAACTCCCAAACACAGCTCCCTGCCCCCAGCCCAGATCCCTTCTGGTTTGCTGTCTGATTTTACACCGGGGATTCGTTCACCTGCAGAAAAAAAAACCCCAAAGCAAACCACAAAAGCAGGAGGAGCTCCAGTTCCACAGCTCTGAGCTGTGCAGCGCTGGGTCCTGGCAGGGTGACGTTTCCCCAGGCTGAGGGTGAAGGTCGGCGCCTGGGACGGGGGCTGAGAAAGGAGGGGAGAAGTGCTGAGCACAGCTGGATGGGAGCAGAGCGCAGCGATGGGGGTCTGGGGCTTTTCCTCACCGCCCAGACCGCCACACGCTGCGGGTCCCAATGCTGCTCCAGCCCCGAGCCTCGCAGCGACGCCCCGCAGCGCCGTTTCACCCCTCTGTGCTGAGCGAGGCACAACCGACGGCAGCACTTCGCACTCCCGTCGTCGTCGATCAGCTGCTGCGCGACCCGCAGCCCCCATTCGGCGTCCCGTGCGTTCCTCGCCCCCTGCTTCGCTCCCACAGGAGCGTCCCCCCCCTCCTGCCCCGTTCTGCCACCCAACAGACGCCTCGGCCCGGTTGCTGTGCTGGCTCTTTGCCCGGCAGCTCCCGCGCAGGGTTTTATCGGAGGGCTGCAGAGGTGGGGAGGGCAGCGGGCGCTTATCTCGGTCGATCTGCGCGTTCCCAGCACGCAGGAGATTACGATCCGACGGACGGAGCCGAGATCCCCATCTCCGGCAGCAGCGGCAGCAGCAAATCCCCACCTCCCGAGCGAATGAATATTTTAAACCCTTCTTTGCAAGATGGCAACGCTGTTCGAACCGGAGGATCGAGCGCCTCGGTGACGGCAGCGAACGCGGCAGGGGTCGGACGGCAGCACCGCTCCGCGCCCCGCGAGGCTGCGCGATGTCGGGCCGGGAAAACTCCGCGCACAAAGGAAGCGCTACAAGTGAGCGCTGCGGGGAGGCGCGGCGAATCCCGCAGCCGCAGACAAAGCCCCGGCCTCATCGCAACTGCCGTACGGCTCGGCTCGGCACGGGAAGGGCCCGCTGCCCCGCAGCGCTCACCGAGCCCCGCTCCCAGCGCTCGGCCGCTCTGCTCGCCTCTCCCCGACTCCCATCCCCGCCGGCCCCGGAGCGCGGAGCTCCGCCGCGTGCCCCGCACGGCCGCCCGGTCCCGCACCCGGCCCGCACTCACCGCCCGGCCCGGCTCCTTCAGCCCCGGCTCGGCCCGGGATCTCCGCCGCGCTCCCGGCGGACACCTCGGCACGGCCCGCCCCGCCGCCCGGCACCACGGGAGCTGTAGTGCGGCAGAGCCGTGCGGGGGGGCGGTGCGGGAGCGGAGCCGTGCGGGGCAGCGCTGCGCCGCGACGGCACGGCGGGGCGGCTGAGGGATCGCGCTGCCTCCTGCCCTCCTGCCCTTTGGGGTCGGTGCTGCGGGCTGTGTGTGTGCGGTGTTCCGGTGGTGGTTGATGCGTCCCCACCGCTTTGTTTTTTTTTCCTGCCGTAATTAACGCCCCGTGATGGGAAAAGCACCCCGCCGCGCTCGGGTGTTTCAGTAGCGGGCATCGTGTGCGAAATAGAGTTAATTTGTGGCCAAAAAAGAAAGTGCTCCGGAGTTCTACTGAGCAGCCGCTGAACGCTGTGCTGTGCGCCTGCTTGCTGACCAGCTTTGGCTTTTGGGATTTATGGGAATATCGTATGGGAATATTGGGATACTGGCTTTAGCTACTGCGACTTCAGATCCCCTCCAGAACTGTTTCGTGCACCGAGGGACGCGGGCACCTCAGCCCCTGCAGCCCTGCAATCAGTGGCTCTGAGCTCTGTGCTCAGTGCCCCCCAGCCCTGCAGCTCCATGCATGCGCTGCACCCATGCGTGGTTGAGAGCTGCGGGCTGTGGGTGCGGTGCTGCAGTGCTGGGCACCATCTGTCCCGGCCTTTGTCAGTGCAGCCATCGCCGCTCACCACGTGCACCCCTGGTGTGCAGCCATCTGTGCAGCCTTTGTGCACGCTGAGCTCCTGCTGGGGAGCAGCAGAGGGTGCAGCACAGCCGAGCTGCTCGGCGGGGTGTTGTTTGGGCAGCTTTGGGGTTGCTCGATGCTGAAAGCCCCCCCCCCGGGCTGCCTCCCCCAATGCTAAGCACCTCGTGTGTGCCCTCATGAGCCAGAGCATGGATCCTGTGCAGCGCTGCTGCTGGATGGGACCGAGGCGGTCTGAGCATCACACGCCAGCACTGTGCTGCTAACTGAGCACGGCTCTGCCTTCCCACAGCCAGTGTTTCCCCTGCCAGCTGCTCCTGGAGGGCCTCGGGCACGGGGGGACCTGGCAGGAAAACCCACCCGCAGCCTCTCGGTGCTGCAGGGATGCTGTAGCGGAGGCGGGATCCCGCGGGAGCAGCCCTGCTTTGCAGGGGAGCCACGCACACGGCAGCTCTATTTTTATCCCCACTCCTGCCTGACTGAGCGGCTCCCTCTGCGCGGTGACATCTAATTTAGCAGCTTCCCCACACCCCGCTGACTCTGCACGTGAGGGGGAAGCACAATGCGGCGGCTATTTTTAAACGCCCATAAATATTAATCCCGCTCGGTGATGCAGCAGCAGCTTCTCTCTCTCACTGCCGGTGGGAGCGCAGGGGGGGCGCCCGCTCCTTGGGCTCCCCAGCCCGCATTCACCCCCACAGGGGACCCCGGCGTTTGGGGGTGGAGCGGTCCTTGGGGGGGATTCGGACCCGCACCCGCAGCCCAGGCCGATGTTTGGAGCAGTCCCTGTGCGGTGGGGTCCGCGTTCCCTTCTGTTTGCTGGCCCCACCGCCGGCTCGATGCTGGCTCTGTGTAGTGGCAGGGAGGAGCTGGTGCTGGCTGATTTTAGCCAGCCGTGCCGCTGCAGCAGTGGGAAGGGGTCTGCACAGGGCTGTGCTGCACTGCAGCCTTGAGATTTTGGGTTCTACGTGGTGTGGGAGGGCTGGAGAGCCGGTGGCGCTGCCGCTGGGGAGCTCGGAGCTTCTCCAGCCAAACAGGGAGAAATGAATGGGCTCGTGCCCTGGGAGCAGCCGGTGGTTCCCCGGTTTCAGTCCCTCAGGACAGGCCTAGCCCCATCGCAGCACGGCGTGGGGCTCTGCTCCATTTGCAGCCCCAGCGGCGGCGACGCCGATCTCCCTCCTGCCAGCGCCTGATGGGAGCGAAGCCACGCGGTGTGAGCCGACCTCTGCGTCCGCAGCCCCGCGCTGACGGCACCGCACCGGGCCTGGCTCCAGCCGTGCTGCGCTCGAGGCGGCTGCCGTCAGGTTGTGTTCTGCTAATGGGGCCGAGACGCAGGCCAGGCGCCTCGTAAACCGTTTATCCTCCCCGAGCAGCGGGAGATGATCAGCGCGATCTCTCCAAGGAGAACCGCGGATGGGGCGCGGGCGGCCACCGGCGTCCTTGTTGGCAGCACGGCAAGGGCACGGCGCTCGGCCCCGCGGCTCCGGCGCCCGGTGACCCGCAGGGACGAGTCCCGGTGCCGGCTGCCTGCTGGGGGCGGCCCCGGCCCGGAGCACCGGAGCCCGGTAACGGCGGCCGCTCTCCATGGTCCTGAGCCGGCCCCGGTGCCGGTCCCCGCGCGGCTCATCGGGCCCCGGGCAGGGCGGCTCGCGGCAGGGCTGGGGACCCGCACCGTGACCCGCAAGGCTCCGCCCGCCTCGCCGCCCGCCGCGGCTCGGGTTTCCCCAAGTAAGCGATGCCGGTGCCGACGGGAGGCGGCGGGCCGGAGGGGATCACGCTCCGTGGCGGAGGGGGAAAAGCCGGGGGCGATCCCTGGGCGGTGGGGAGCGGGGGCAGCCCCGGGCTGCGGAGAGAGGCGGGAGGGCAGAGCCCGGCTCCGGGCAGCGCCCGCCAGCGCCATTCCCACACGGGGTCCCGGGGATCCCGGAATCTCCGTTGGTTGTGGCCGCCCCGAGCCCCGAGCTTGGGGGTCCCGGACGCTCCCGGCGGGGTTCTCCCCGTGTCCCCCCAGGAAGGAGTCCCGCGGCTCAGCCTCGACCCGAACCGGGCGTGGAGAGGAGCCGGGGGCGAGGCGGGGGTGCCAGGAGCCGTGCAGCCCCCCCCGGCGGGGCGGGCCGGGGGCGGGGAGCCCCGGGGAGGCCCGGCCGGTG